CCAGGTTTCAAACAGCCAACTCATGCAATGAGCACAGGACCCGGTCCCACTGCCTGGATGCCTCCCAAACAGATCAAGCCAATCAACTGTCTCACCCATTCAGAGGGCCTGGTCCAGTTGGGGGCCCCTCAGGCATTGGTTCATAGTTCATGTGTTTCCATTCATTTGGCTATTTGTCCCTGTGCTTTATCCAACCTTGGTCTCAACAATTCTCGCTCATATAAACCCTCCTCTTTCTCACTAATTGGACTCCCAGAGCTCCACCCAGGCCCTAGCCGTGGATCTTTGCATCCAGATCCCTCAGTCGTTGAATGAGGTTTCTAGCACGACAATTGCGGTGTTTGGCCATCCCATCACCAGAGTAGATCAGTTCGGGCTGTCTCTCGACCATTGCCAGCAGACTGTTGTGGGGGTATCTTTAGCACGTACCACCACACAAGCTTGTTCCCTTCAAGTTTTACCCTAATATAAAGGAACACAACAGAGAAGTCTGGGGTCAGGTTAACCCTTCAGGAAGCGTTGGTATTAACCGTTACAGACTTTGTTCTCTCCACCCTTGCTGCCCAGGGGCTGATGTTCTATCTTTAGAAGTCATGACACGGTTTCCTTAGTTACAGATAACTAATAAGACCCAACTGGTGGATAGACTTTTCCCAGAGACGAAAATGCACTTTCCTTTAGAAAAAAAGGAAGAATCACGCAATAAAGAAATCACATAAGTAAATGCAATCAGAGTCTTTATACATTTTAAGTAATGAGAAGAACATCAGAGATTTAAAAAATGGCCAATTTAAGATGGATATCGGAGCACTGGGGAGAAAGTGCAGTACAAAGGGAGTCAATTGCGCCATAATGTACTTGCTCTGGCTCAGTCTATTTTCAGCTCTGGATTTGTAAAACGCATAGATGGAGGGCACTCCAAACTTTGGCCATCCTCATGCATATCGGTACCAAGATACAGCGCACAAAGACATTACGGGCAGAGGAGACGGCCAACAGAGTCTTCCCAAACAAATTCGTTTTCTTTGCACTTATTTGCTGTTTGGATTAGCACTCAACTTTTTTTAAAGGGAAAACTAATAAGGAAACATTTGTCCTTCCTTATTGAACTGAAAATAACTCACAGTTAGCTAGGAGTCCATTTCAGCAGGTGCTTGTCTAAAACCACACTTTCTCCCTATCATACCCACATTCCTAGTAGTAGGGAGGAGATTTACGAACATGAGAAAAGTAATTCTCAATATGAGGAACAGTAGGGAAGCAATTATCTAAGATACGTTACATGATTTTTCCTTTAAAAATTAAATAAATAAAAGTAATGCTGCATTATCTGGGAAAATTGTCGCTATCTCAGGAACTACAGAATTGTTATTAAAGTAAAACTTGTTTATGGTTTTAAAATAATATACATTTTATCAGACATGTCCATCATTTTTCCAAAGGAAAAAGATTCTTATCTATATGGCATAAGCTATATGCCTATAGGAATTCACTAGAACACACCAAGGAAGTCAGAGAACATGCACATCTATAAGAGAAAGAAAAGCATGTTTGTTGTGCAAGTGAATTTGAACTAAAGAGCTTTTGTCTTCTGAGGTGATAATATCACAAAGCCAGGAACTCTGAGATGTAAAAAGTCAATTTTATTTTAGGACATGGAGGGCACTGTTGCCGTGGTAATCTTCCTAAACTATAACAGGAAGACAACTAGATGTAAAACCAGAATATTTAAAAAGGTAAATGGATACTTTCAAGGTCACATTGGTTCTGGGCTTAGGGCAGAGCTTGCTTTTTAGGTTGGAACTTAATCTTGGCCTTGAATTTAAAGAAGAACAAAATTTCTAAATAAATATTTCTAAAACTCCATTAAAAATGCTTTCAACTTTAACACAAACAAAACCCGATATTTATGTTGTAGTTTCATAGCTAAGACAAAAACGTGAAGAAAGAGGAGAGAAGAAAACAGCAGTTTAGGAATCACTTTGATTGAAAAATCACCTCTCTGTTTTTAGGCTGAAATGTTTGTCATAGAACCAGCCTTCCTTTCTTCTTTTAAAGTCAGACAGCTATTTAGATGTTTAAAATGAACAAAATCCATTGTTGTTTTGACTTGCTCTTTCTTTTCCTTTCAAAAATATAAAATAAAGTACTGTAAAAACTCAATTTGATGTGCCAGGGAAGTAAATTTTCAGATGTCTGAAATGACAGTATCCTCAAATCGCTCTCAGATCAAATCATCCAATGTTTTACTTGGAGCAAGAATGAGTTTCGCCAAAATTGAAAAAGTTTAGTAGAACATTTGTTTTCATATAGTTTAGTTACAATTTCCTTTAGATTTGTACCCCATTTTCAACTTTGTGTTGGGACTCTCTACACTTGCAGGATGACTTCTGGCATGGAGCACTGAGATCTCAATTTTAATCGCCTGTCTGTCAAATTGAAGAGAAATGCGTCTCCTGGAGCAAGCCAGCGGAGAGCCACTCGGGAGTCTCTAGAACAGTGAGCAGCAATCCCAGGTCTTACCCAGTTAGGGTGGTGATGTCTGTGGCCAAAGCAGCAACACCCTGCAGCTTCCCTGAGATGATGCATGTGGTTGTTCAGAAGTGGGTGCTGGTGTTCATGTTATCACAAACAGTATTTGTGGGTCTTTGACCCCAATGTGACCTTTTGAATGCACATTCCAATTCTCTATTTTTTGTATACGATGACATGATTTTTTCCTTAGTGAAGAAAAATACAGTACATAGCTCATTCCATTTCGACTAAGAACAAATCCATAAACACTTTATTGTAATCCCAGTTATGAAATCTGTGACCTGTTCAGAACAACTTCTCCCATACTCTGTATTCTAAGATCCTCTCTCTTCAATATGAATCTTCTTTATTGAATGGCCAAGAGTTGACCAAAGAGTAGTTATTAATACCTGATAGCCCCCTGTGTGACAGTTTCTTTTAGGCAATAAACATTAACAAGGAAATACATGATCTCTTGAGTAGAAAAGGGTCCAGGAAGAGACAGATGTGCCAGGACTAGGGACTGATGAAGGGATGGCAGGACTATTTTAGAGTCAAATTTATTTGGGGATAGAAAGCAATAAATTATCTCCTATATAAATATAAATACATTAGTAGATTTGAAATACCAAAGATTTTATTGCCTGTGCTTGATAAAGCTGGGGTCTGAGGTCACCATATTAACAGCTCAGTACCCAGGATGAGCTACTATAGGGAAGATGCAGGAATTTGAGAGGTGGGGTCTAGTAGGAGGTTTTCCGGTCATTGAAGATGTGCTCTTGAAGAGAATTATACCATTCTAGTATTCTGCCTTCTCTTTTGTCCCCACCAATGAGATAAACAGTTGTACTCTGCCACTCACCATAATGTTTGGCTTCATTATAGGTTCTCGAACAACAGCCCCACTGACCATAAACTCAAAAGCTGTTAGCACCGACAAACCTTCCCCGTTGTATAAGTTCATCATCTCAGTTATTTTATTATAGCACCAGAAAGCTGACTAGTGTTACTTGAAGCAAAAAGTGTTAGAACCACTGTCATCTTTGATTCTACTTTTCAGTGTGACATTTGAGATTTGAAACTCATTTGTCCAAAATTTAACACAAAGATTAGTCCCTTCTACTTTTGAGAGATGGACATGTGGAACATCCACCTCTTAGCAAGGAGAAAGACTCAAAGGCCAGTGTTCCCTGACTCCTGAAGGAGCTGTGTGGATTTCAGGAAAAGGGTCACCTTCCCCAGATTTCTGTATTTCTCTCCATGTGTTTTATATCACTTGGGTTTTTCTTTGGGGGTAAAACTTTACTTTTCTTTATTTAAAGTAAACTAGTCACCAGCCTTGACTCAAATGAGGTTTATCTGCAGTGGAAAAACTGACTTTTATTTGAGGTGAGTTCCATGAAAAACATCACCAGAAGAATCATAAAGAATGCAAGAATATGCCTCTGTATTCAATCTTACCACAGCTATGCATTATCTATTTTTTATTGTTTCTGTGGAGTTGCCTGTTTTAATATGTTTTCAATAGACAACAAGGCACCAAGAGCCCTGGGTAAATAATAGATGTTAAAAATAGCCATTACCTAACAATGTTACTGGAATAATTAGAGTGCAGAAATGCTCTCACATGAGCAGCCAACTAAAAACAAAGGTTGGCATGAAGCTGCTTCTTTGGTTCTTTTCAAATTAATATAGCAAACTCATTTCAAACTCATCTCTCCCACTTAAAACTACTTGAGTTGTTTTCCTCTTGTTTGCTTTCGACTCCCCCAAAGCACACAACACTGTATGCCGCCCTCTGCACAGTTTTACAGTCTTTTGTTGTTTAGTAGGGATGCATAGTGCCAATGGATATTTATGTGCATGCGCTATACAGATGCTTTGCTTTCATACTTAGAGTAAGGAAATTATTCTCAAAGTCATGGAGTCATATTCTTCCAATGCAATAAAACACAAAATTCATTTCTTTGCTGGGTAGCTGGCTGCTGTGGAACACAGCCAGAAAGTGCATCCTTGCAACCCAACACAAGACCAGAACACCAGGACCCTTTGGATTGCTGTAGCATAGTGGAGCCTGTATTTGAACCAGGAAGCACATTAACATTCATGCCAAATAGCTATTTCTAGCCCATGTACAATGGAATAAAACAACAACTACATTCTTCTTGCAAAAAGCCCAGTAGCTTCTCTAGACTTAGGACTTCTTGGATCAGTTAATACATTGTAAAGAGAAGCCATATCACTTAACTCTTTAAATGCATGAAGGTCCTGACATGTCCACTGTCCACCACAGGAAATCGTTTTGCTTTTATTCAATGAAAATTTCCACAGAGACAGGAAACTGACAGAACTATAACTACTATGCCAGTCATTTTCAAACACTCCTCAAAGTTGACTGAACTCATGCAAAAGGTATTGTGTATCTTAAAGAACTAAATGGTGTGTGATGTCATAGCATTTCATGAAGTCTTGAAAGAGATACTTGCATTTTGCTGTCACTTTGTAACCCCCTAGGGGAGGGGTGTGGCCTTCCAATGCATCAAATCCAGCAGAAACCAGGACCACGTCTGGATCAAATTCTTTGGCCACAGGCATCACGACAGTCCTGTGTGGTGAAAAAGCAACAGTCACTCATGGGAAAGCTGGGAATCTGTAAAAACTGCTTAGTAAAAATGACTTGGCACAGCCACAGTCACTTCCCAAGAAAAGAAGGTGAGGGAAATGCTAACTGGATCAAAAGCTTATCATTTCCTTCACGTGTGAACACCGTTGTTTTCGCATCCCAACACAGTCTTTTTCCTTTCATCTTTTTTCCTCCAGGTTGAAAACCACCATACTCTGCAGGTACATTCCACAGCCTGTCACAGGAGAGTGCATCTGTACTGTTTTATTCCATTGCCTATAAAAAAGAAAGCCCCACTTCTTCCAAAGGAGACTAATGTTCTACAGGAGAACTGAAGCTTTAGGGAGAGCCTAGCTTGCTCTAGTTAGTAAGAAATTGGTATAAATTTGAACTATAAATTTCTTTTGGGAAAAAGTTTGCTTTCCCAACTTAAAAAATATATTTAAAAATATTTGTCATGGTAGGGGGTGACTCTTGCAAAGGAAAAACACAAAATTCCCTTAATAGAATCCAGATTATGATGTTAAGTGAGTCCAAGGCCAGACACACCAGGAATGTGGCAGTCTTGTCTCTGGCAGCAGCCCCTGCCGGCCCCACTTAGACACATCAGCACTCACCTCTCAGCCTCCTCGGGGCTCAGAACCTTCCCATCCCTGTTAGTTTTGAGAGAAAATGACTGCAGGACCTCAGAAAAAAAATTTATGAGGGCTTCAAGCTCAGAGCTTCAAGTCCATCATAAAAATTCAAATACCAAAGACTATTTATTAAAACAAGGAAACAGCTCACTGTTATGATTTTTACTAGGAAGACTTCTGTCTGTGAGAAGAAACTGAAGCAAGTGGTCCAGGAGTAATCCTTCAGCAGAAAACTAATTAGACTCTTTGAGTTTTCTTCAAACACTTTAGGTTTTCACAATGATCACATACCTTTATGTAAAGAAATTTTGATTGAATGTCAGAAACAGAAAGTTGAAATTAGAAAATAACTGAGTGAAACTTATCAGAGATACATAAATCAACTCAACACTTTTTCTAATAACTCTTCTGCTAGCATAAAACGCCAGCCATCAAGCTTCCAAACATATGTACACATTAGATTTCCACAGCAGTTCTCTCAGCAGCTGGAAAACCTCTAAGCCTGAATTACTCACTAAGAAAACTATACTACTACTCACTATGCATAGCTTACTTATGGTTTTTCTTCAATAATGTTATGAATCTTTAGTACAGATCCATGATCTGAAGAGATACAAGATTCTCATAGAAATAGCATGTATAATCAGTCATTCACTGATGTTCATGAATGAAATGCCCATGTGTTAGTGAGACATTGGAATACTCTCTCGAGGAATCCAGAATATTTTCTCAAGATCCTCTCTTTATTTTGGTGGGTACTAGATAATTTCTAGCAAACAACTGTAAGACAATCAACACATTCGCTGTGCCAATCATTTCTAAATTTGCAAACAATGGGTTTTCGATCAAGCTCCATCTTAGGGAACTCAATCTATGCAGGTGAATTCACTCCAAAAATAATAAAACAACAGGAATTTTTTTGGGAAAAAATCTACCACACATCCCAGTAAGCTTTAGATGTAAACTTGTCACAGCCTGGAGACAGTGGAGAGAAAAGCCTTGATGGAAGATTTTCCTAGATTGGCCTAGGGGCATGTATAGGGGACTGTCTTGATTATTAATTGGTGCAGGATGACGCAGTCTCCATCGATGGCACCATCTCTAGGCAAATGGTCCTGGGGTTGAGCAAACCAGCTAGCAAGCAGCATTCTTCCACAGTTTCTGCTGCACTCCCTTGACCAGAGGAAACACTACACAAAGAGCCAGCAAGTCTGCCTTCTGGTTCCTGCCCTGACTTTCCTCAAGGAAAGACAGTGGCCTGGAAGTCTAAGATGAAATAAAGCCTTTTCTCTCCAAGTTGTTTTGATCATGGCGTTTGTAACACCAAAAGAAGGGAACTAGAACACCACATTATCTGGTAGAATTTTCCTTTCAAAGCATACATTCTTAAAACTCAGGTTCCTCTTCAAAGCAATCCTTACCTTTAAAAATGATGCATTGTTAGAATTTTGTCCAGATGGCAATTGTTTGCTGAATAAACTAGCTGTGTGTGAATATAGAAAGTTTGTATGATGTTCTGATACAAAATATTCTGGAAATTTTTTTGTTAAACTAGACAACTACATGGCAACAACTTATAAATAGTAACATTGGTGATGTTTTGTTTATTGACTTCATCTAATATACATTGTCTACTTTGTTGCAAACACTGCTGTGGCGAAAGCTTGTTCAATTTCAAACTGGACCTTAATTATTTTCATATGCTGACATAAACTCTTCTTTGCCTACAACTCATAAACAGTTAGAATTTATAGTCCCCAGATCTTATTATTTTGGCAAATTAAAAAAAATGTTCTGTGTGCACAAGTGTTTTGTGGGCAAATATGTCTGGTCATCTCTACATGCCTGGTGCCCAGAGAGGCCAGAAGAGGGCATTGGATCCCATGGAACCGGATGATTGTGAGACACTATGTTCATGCTGGGAATAGAACCCAGGTCCTCTGAAACAGCGGCTAGTGCTCTCAACTGCTGAGCCATTCCTCCAGCCCCATATCTGGTAACTTTTAAAGAGACATCACAGAAATCTTTGAGCTCTTTTATTTATGTTGGCATGGATCTAGAATATCCACTACGGCCTGAGTCTCCTTTCCAAAACTCATATTGAGATTAAATACCGTTACTACAGTATGGATCATTGCCATTGCTGTGGGAGTGAGCTCCTGAGGCAAGGATGAGTCTGCCAAGCGTCCTCTCTGTCCTATGCCTGTTTGTATGTCCTTCCACCATGTTATGACACTGCATGGTGGCCCATACCAAACACCAGCACCACAATCCTGGACTTTGTAGCCTCCATAACCATTTTCCAAATAAATCTATGTTCTGTATCAATTATCTAGCTTTAGATAATCTGTTACAGCAATGCAAAATAGACTAAGACCATGTATGAAAGACCAAAAGACTGTTATGAAAATACTACGTAGAAAAAGCAGTATAATTTTTCTTGAACAAATTCCTCAAAAGCATTCATGGGATTTGTTGTTAAAGAGAAAAGCAAAATATGCATGCTTGCTTAGGTTATCATACACTTCCTAATAACCACGACACCCTGATAGCAAAAAACTGTGATTGAACAGCTAGTGTTCTATTGTCAATCTCTGATAAAAGAGTACAGAGGTCCTTGAAAAGTGATCGACTCTAGAACATTATCACCAGAAATATGAAGTAACTCAGGAGCACTGTATGGTGGCAAAGAAATCATCAGAAGGGAAGAGGATATGCTCACCAGGCATATGGACTAAAGCAGAAAAGCCAGGGATGGTTGAAACTGGAACAATTCCAGAAACACAAAAAGTGATGCTAACAGAGGATTATAACCCATAAAACCAGATAAGTATTCATGAGTTAATAGTTTAACAGAGATATAACTGGACAGAGAGAAAACAGCTCTTCCTACAGAATAAACTATCAACTGACGATTGTCCAAGAATCCAAGAACTTAAGGAAAGAGAAAATCACAATTGGAATAAGATGAAAAATAACAGAAGGAAGCAAGATTTACAGATTCTATGTGTTTGTCACATTAGGAGACATGAGACACACGCAAAAGCTTTACTATTGTGAAAACCTCTGAAACTCCAATACTCTTTCAAAATACAAGGTGTTAGATAAGAAATGTTACCAACTTAATAATGGGAATGTTATCAGCAAATGGACTTTTCATTTTCTTCTTTTTAAAAATGACTCGCTTATTTATTTTACTTGTGTATAGATGTACTTGCATGAGCTTGTGCGTGCCACACGCATGCAGTACACAATGAAGATGAAAGAGAGTGTTGGAATCTCTGAAGCTGGAGTTACAGACAGTTGTGAGCCACCATGCAGGCATTGGCAACTCTGGTTCTCTGTAAGAGCAGCCAGTGCTCTTAACCACTGAGCCACGTCTCCAGCCTAGCAAACAGTATTTAAACAAATTTTGAGCAGAGAGAACTTGGGAGCCGACTAGGAAAATGAGCTAGAAAAGGAAGTTACTGACCAGAATCCGATACAGAAGGAACTAGAGAAGAGATGAGGGATATTTGTCCCAGGAAACCCTCAGTAAGGAAACAGGTCCAGTGGAAGGAGAAGGCAGGACTAAATACAAGATATTAAAGAAATGTGACCAGCAAAGACCACTAGAAGATGTCCAAACATCCTTACAGCCTCTCTTCCTGATAACAGCCAGACTAAGCATTCAGGTGGTCTCCTCCTTACTGACAAGTATGTGTGGACAAAGCCTAAACTCTTCACGTGGTGTTGGTGACCTCCAAATATAGTTCTCTTTGTTTTGTCCTCAGGGCATTCAGAGACCACTAGCCCCCTTCCAAAATGTTAATCCCAAAGGAGAGTTTGGAGGGGTTAAACATACTAGCTGATCAGACTGTCAATTGACTTATTTATGTATTCATTAGGAAAACGGACACCATCTACTGCCTTCTTAAATATCAATGGAGAATAAGAGAATTTCCTGACTCATGAGAAGACCCAAGAGTATAGAAAAAAACATTAAAGGCCGGGCGGTGGTGGCGCACGCCTTTAATCCCAGCACTCGGGAGGCAGAGCCAGGCGGATCTCTGTGAGTTTGAGGCCAGCCTGGTCTCCAAAGCGAGTTCCAGGAAAGGCGCAAAGCTACACAGAGAAACCCTGTCTCGAAAAACCAAAAAAAAAAAAACAAAAAAAAAAAACATTAAAATAAACATATAAACAACTGGAAAAGCTGGGGCAGTGGTGGCACAAGCCTTTAAACCCAGTACTCAGGAGGCAGAGACAGGAAGATCTCTGTGAATTCCAGGCCATTCTAGTTTACAGAGCAAGTTCCAGGACAGCCTGAGTTGTTGTTACACAGAGAAACTCTGTCTCAAAAAAAAAAAA